CCCCGCCCAAGACAAAGTCGCTGTGAACTATTAAAAGGAGACTGGTTAATTTGGGTTCAATAGCTAGATTCAGTTGAAATGAATTGATACAATATTTTCTTCAGTGTTCTTTACTAAAACATTACTTATTAAAGAAATTTGATTTATACTTTAAGAAATATCGTCATTTACTTTAGCTCACGTCTTTGGAAAATGAATGTGTCTGAATAATTTGATGTGCTTTCAGATAAATAATGAGTATTTATGATACAGATACAAAAAGGAAATCTTAAAAATACATAGCACCACATACTCTTTTTTTCCCCCTGTTTTACAATATGCAAAGCTGGTTTCATGGATTAGGGCATGGCGTTTTTGTTTGTTGTGTTTTTTTTGTTTGTTTTTAATCACAGTTTGGGATTAATATGTTTTATATTAAGAACATGAACTAGGTTGACAGGAGACGTAAGTTCTATTCTTAGCACAGCTACAAATTAAAAATACGAAACTGACCCAACTGCCCTTCCTGCTTCTGTGTTTCTACTGTGGCACTGTCCTTCCTCCTATCATAAACCTTGACTCTACCCTCTTTTCTGGTTGTGTCCTTGCTGGTTAGTACTGATTTAATATTTAGTTACTGTTTTTGGATTTCTTCACACTCTTTTAAAATGCAAAGACCAAAAGGCATCTCAGTGCTGGGTCACATTCTTGTGTGGCATTTATTTTTTTCAAGGCAGATAGAATTTTCTTCTGAATTAAAATTCTCCACCCTTTCTGCTCTGTTCTTTGGGAGATAGTGTAATGTTATGAACACAGCATTGGGCAACAGGAGATTTGCGCCCTGGCTCTACCACTTACTACGTTTATATAATATTCTTTCTTAGGCCAGTCAGTTAATGTCTCTAAGCCCCAGTTTCTTTCTGGGTCCTGCCTCCTTCACCAGGAGGCTGTGAGGATCATGTAATGTAATACGTCTGAGAGTGTTTTCTCAAATATAAAAGTTTATGTTCTTATTGTAGTCATTTCTATTTTGGTATAATATGCATTCTAAATAATTAAATGCATTCTCATTAAAATCACTATTTATTGACTACCAAGATTTACTCTTTTAAGGTGCTTCTTAAAATAACCTTCAAGGTTAGCTTTGAAACTTCAAATGTGACTCTCTGGCCATACATGCTCATCCAAAACATTGCTAGTTTATTACGGGGCATCCTACAGGGTCAGAATGAGAAACCTCTTCTGAAGCACAGACTACATGTGTTGCTTACTCTCATCTTTCAGTCCTTTCCCATCCATCATAGAAGGAAATGTCTTCATAGGACTTCCTTTCTTGTGTGTCACCGTGGTCTCTTTAAAACTTCATGGGATTAGGGACCCTTGATTGCATGATTGGCTTTAGTGCCTTCCTTGCTGGCAGAGTTAAGTTTATCCATCTCCAGTTATTAGTCATTCTCCCCGCCCTGCCTTTTTCCGTTATTGGTTAAGATCAGACACAAATATTTACCCTTCCTCTAGGTTTTCAGGAACTTCCTTCCAATGGCCTTGTGTGGTTTTAGCCCGGGTGATCTGATTACAGCAATAAAGTTACTTGTGTGTGTACAGAATTACATTATCTTAAAGTAAAAGTTGAAAGGTAAGTCTTAACTCTCAGTATTCTGTTAAATGTAAAATGGTTGATATTTAGGAGGATTTAGTCTTAATCTTATTTATTTATTTATTTATTTAGGCAGGGGAGGTAATTAGATTTACTTATTTATTTTTAGAGGAGGTACTGAGGATTGAACCCAGGACCTTGTGTATGCTAAGCATGTACTCTACCAGTTGAGCTATATCCTCCCCCTTAGTCTTAATCTTAATTAAGATTAAGATTAACCTGCTTTAATCTTAGTCTTATAAAGTAGTTCTATTTAAAAAGAATTTCTAACATTCATGGGATAGACAGTGAAACTCCAGCACATGTATCTGCAGAGAAGCATGCAGTTTAGTGGAAGAGAACTTCTTAGTACAGGGCCTTGCTTAGATAAGGCCCTCATCTGCTGCGTGCATGAGTGTGTCTTTGCCCTGGTGTAATTGGAAATATGCTGCTGCTCCTCCCCTTTTCTTTGTGTTTGGATTAGTGGCTCCTCCTTCAGTGAAAATAACTTACAGACTGTATCTTTCTTATTTCATTGTTAGATATACTGTTTGTTAGATACCATTCACATTTTTCAGAGAGGAAGTATGTGTTTGCTGGCCTCCCAGCAGTAGAAGTAGATATTTTTATGTATTAAGGTAAATATTAGATATAGGAGGAATTTATATAAAACATATTGAGGTTGCATTGATTAGAATTCACCTTGTTTTGTTTCCTCAGCTCTTATTATAATTTGTATAATAATTTTAACATAAAAGTGATACCTCTTTATTGTACAAACTAGAAAATACCAAAGAACGTTAAAAACCCTTAATTCTACCTTCTAGCAGTAATCACTATTACCTTTTTTTGGTCTGCCTTTCTAAATGTACTCGTGTAGCTTTGTTATCCATTTTGGTAGTTTTCAGTATTTCACAATACCATCTGTCACTTCATTAAAGAACCATAGTGCCACTGCGGTAGAAACAGTATGCTGTTTATGAGGACATCTCTGCTTTTACATACATAATGTTAGTGCCTTAACAATTGTTAGAAAATGCTTCCTACCTCCTGCAGGTTACTCCTGAGCACTCCTGGTAACCATTGACCTGCCAGTTGAGAATCACTGGGTAGAACCATCAAAATTCACGAGCAAGTTTACAAGTCTCCATGTGGGTCTTAGATCTTGCTTGACTGGTTTGGATTGCTTCACATATGCACTAGCGTCTGTGTGGAGCACTTCTTTTGGCTTGAACAGAGTTCCCAATTGTAATTTTTTGCATTTCATCATCTCACAGAATTAAATCCAGGAATATTTTTCTACTTTACGGAATTTTTGTATATATAATCCTTTTTAAGGATTTTTTTCCCCCCAGCTCTTGACACATGTCAGTTTTCCATGACTACTGTGTTATCTCTACATTTGGTCAGTGATGGCATCTTGTCATTTGTACCTCAAAAATAACTTTTTAACTTACTGATTCTACCTCCAAAGTAACATTTTACTCTGCCTCTTCGACCCTGAAGTTACTGCCTCCTTCAGGCTTTCATTTCTCTTCAGTGTGTTGTAGAAGCTTTCCTCCTAGTATGCTGTAGTATTTTCTTCCCACTTGCGAGACTTCTTACCTCCTTCTCTCCTTTTATTGCAGTTTCTAGCAGTTTATTTTAGAAAATTTATAATATGTGTATACAAAGATGGAAATAACCACTGTGATTATTACGTTATGGTGTCTAGTCTTACAGTTGTTTGTTACCTATATATATGTATAATCTCAAAATTGAATCAATCTGGGCATTCTTTAATCTTTTTTAAAAATTAGTATTTTATGAACATTTTCCCTGTCTACATTTTTTTGGCTCTGTATTATAGGTGATTATGATTTATGCCATCTTCCTGGACATTTAGTTCTTTAGGCCCTCCCTCCTTCTTTCCCTCCCTTCCATCAGTCTTTCTGGTATTAAAACCAATATTGCAATATCCTTGTAGCTAAATTGTGTGGACAGGTCTGTGTTTTAGGATAGTAGAATAATGGTTCTAAAATACAGCTCAGATTTTGTCATCCTGTTGTACGCATTTTTGTCTCTCTGTTGTAACCAGTCTGAACTTTTCATCCTAAAAACTCTTTGTTAGTCTAGCGCCTGCCAGCCTTTCTGAATTTATCTCCTTCCCATTCCTCACACCCTCCAACTGCAACAGATCACTTGTGGTCTCTGAAATGTGTCTTATTCAGGCGTGTCTGTTTGCCCTCTTTTCTTACGTACCCAGTAAATATTTCTTCAGTCTTCTAGCCTAAACTTCTGTGTGAAGTTCTTAATCTTCCTATGCAGAGTTAAGTCGCTCCTCATTTGCATCTTATGCATTCCTGTATTGGAATATAGAATATTTCCCAAATTTTAGAAATTTAGTCTCCTGTGCTAGGCTGTGAGTGGCATGTTCTAGTTCTCTCTCTCTTTCCAGCACCTAACTCATAAGAGGTGCTTAATAAATTTTGCTTGCATAAATCTGCTATCTGGGAAAAAGCAAATTCCTAACAATGGTATAATAGAGTTAAATACACTTTTTAATTCACTCCAAAATACTATGAAGAAAAAACTACTTGACTGAAAAATGTTTCTGGGGCTCATGAGAAGCATTGTATTTTTTTTAGAAAAATTAATGTGTCATGAATGATTAAGAAAATGCATAACTGAAGAATTTACACTTGCATTTAATGTTGAAACTGTAGTTTTAGTAACCCTTAGAGAATTTAAGAGAAATGAAAATTTTTTCTTTTGCTTAAGTTTTCACATAAGCAAGAATATTTGTGTTGTATATAAACAAATATAGGTGCAGTGTTTAAAATTTGAGTCATGTAATCATGTCATTATGGCTTTAGTTTTTATAAGTTAATATCTGAATAGATTTTTTAAAAGTTGGACTAATGAAAGAATAATTATTCTTGGTAAGATAGGATGCTTGAAGTTTTAAAAGACTAACACAGTATCTCCTGTAGAAAATATCCATTGACACCTTGCTAAAGGAAAGAATCTTGGGTTACAGGATAATTGATCTGTTCTAGTAGTCACCACTTTATTTCCTTCTTTTGAGATTTTGGCTTAATCATTCAAAATGATGGATACTTTCTTTGGTTCTAAAGTTCTTTGATCTGAAAGCCTTCAACTTCTTTCTTATTGTCTATTTAAATGTCAGACAGTTTAAATATTTTATAATTCTTTTGCACTGGTCTAACCTAAAGGATGCTACAACTAATACTTTTGTCTATGAGTCGCAACTCTTCTGTTCTTGAAGTTTGCTTTGCTCAATTCTTACCATTATCACAGTGTCGTAGGGTTTGGTACTGCATTAAGACAGATTATACTAATTGGTATGTTAACTTTATATTTTTCATCTTTTTCTTTTTTGAAGGTAATGTGGCTTTAGATAATCTCCAGATTAAAGAAAATGCTCTGGTAAGTTGTGTTTTGTTTTTGTTTTTGTTTTTCACCTGTGTTGACTAGTTAGTTAATTTGCTCTTAGAAAACTCTTAGAAACCCTCGTTACTAGGTATCTGGTATCACGTACAGGTAAACTGATTGAGTCACTTGAAGAAGGATTACTTATTTAACAGTTTGCTCTGGGAAAATCTGAGATTGAAGATTTAAAAAAAAATTTTTTTCCCTGATGATCAAAATAGTATCTCTTGGAAAAATGGAATGTTTTTCCTTAACTTAATTTGACTTCATAACTTTGTAGTAGAATTTATCTTAATGAAATAGTTTTCTTCAGAATTATCTTTGCATATTTTTCAGGTAAATAAGGACTTGATTTTAACATTTTATTTAATGAATAATTATATTTTTGGAAATATACTTGGCAGTCCAGTCTTACAATAATACCATAATGTTAAGAGGTAAAATAGATTTTTTGGACTGTAGCTCTAGAAAGTAATTTGTGTCATTTACTACAAAAAAACCCCATCCTCCAAGGTCCCTCCACCATCCCTCATTTGGCCATTTGGTATTTCCATGTTGGACTTAATTGGAGTTTATGAAGTCACTTAAGAATGGGTTTATTCTTTGATTGATGGGTTAGATTTATAATTAATGTACAGTTTGTTTTATAATCCTAGCTTTGACCTCCGGTTGAATTTCTACATGATGAACTGTTTAATTAGGGAGAGTCTCGTACACGCAATGCTCTCATGACTGGTGTCATGGAAGCCAGTTTTGGATGTTGAAGATCTTGGGGTAGAACTTTATAAGTAGCAATTTATTTTATTATTGACATAGTGGAAAGGTCATGGATCTTGTACTGTGATGTACCTGAGTTTGAGTGGTAGCTTTGTCTCTGACCAGCTGTGTGACTTTTGGCAAGTTTCTCAATTTCTTTGAATATCAGTTTAATCATTTTAAAATGGAGTTAATAATACAAAACAGTATGATATTTCTCTGCCTTTGTGGCTTGAATAAGATTAAAAAGTAGAGCTTGACAAGTAATGGACACACAAAAGATTTAAACTTTCTTTCCTTCCCTTTATATGGGATGCTACAACTTTAAAAATTTTATCCAAAAATTTAGAACTTAAGATTCTTTTGTTAGAGATTGGAATAAAGGTTTTTTTTTAACCTATTTATAAAAATCTTTTAGAAGGTAAAATAGAATTGTGGTTACAGGGCACATATATATATATTTATATCTAACATACTTAGAAGATAAATTGAACTCTGTGTTAGCCTAATTTGAATTTTGGTTATAATTTAACACATTATTTTGTAATTTATGCTCCATTAATTCAAACTAGCTTCCTTTCCCCCAATTAAACTGGATTGGTGAGGTTTCACTTTGATATGGGTTCTTTACATTTATTTTGTGTGAAACTTCAGGAGGATTAAAATGCGTGTGAGATCACATTTAGAGCTAAGTGTACAGTTTTCAGTTTGTATTCTGTATAATATGAAGACCTTTGAATTTATCTGCCCCCCTCCTCTTCCTCTCCTCTTCCCCACCCCTGGACGGTAGAGCTACCCCCTTATCACCAGTGAGGATTTTTTGTTTGGGTCTAATAAAAAGATTTATTATCAAAATCTGTTAGTATTTTGTTCAGTCTCTGTTCACCCAAAATACTGAATAATCAGGTAAGTGATTAAATTGATTATTTCAGTTAATTGTTAATGGAGTGATTTAGTTAATTGTTACCTGAAGTATGTATTTCAGGCCCAGATTTCAATAGTATTTATATCTACTAAGGTACACCTAACAGAAAGACCATTCTTTTTTTTTTAATTTAGTTTTTATTTTATTTCTTGTGGGGGAGCTAATTAGTTTAATTCATTAATTAATTATTTTTAGAGGAGGTACTGGGGATTGAACCCAGGACCTCATGTATTCTAAGCACGTGCTCTACCACTAAGCTATTACCCTCCCCTCTCAGAAAGGCTATTCTGACTGGTTTAGTTTTTGGTAATTCTAAAGATTCAAGTGAACATTGTGAATATAAGTTATTGCTTAGTACTCTGTGAATACAGAAGTTTCTTTCTAGTGGTTTTGAATCTGGATAAGTGCAAGTTCATTATTATTGATCAGTACTTGTTAGTGACTTATCTAAAGTGAATGCTAATGTGGTAAATAATATGTTGAGAATCTGCCATTTCTTTTAAGATTTATTTATTCATTTCCTAAGTATTTCATTTGAGAAGGAATTATTGTTCATTTGTTTTCAACTTATTTAAGTGAAAAGATTCTTCCTCTTCCTTTTCTAGTATTTCAGATAAGCAGTGTCCATCTGTCATTTTAAGAGTTCATGGAGTTTCCATCTGGCTTGGTTTGGTTAATAAAACAAGTAACCGATTTGCCTGATTACTTTCTTTAATTACAAATTCTTTTTATGTTTATGTTGTTCTTACTTATAATTTTGCTTCTCTTATGAGTTCCTTCTTCAGAGTCAAGTTTAAGTTAATAAAAACTTTTTTCAGCCATAAAACATACCCTTACGAGTTACTGAAGTACAGAAAATTTGTTTTATGTTTTGCCTTAGTGTTGATTGTGTCCTTAAGTAATGATGCAAAGGTGATTAGTAGGGAGCTTAATAATTTAAGATGTTCTTTAATTTCTGTCTTCCTTCTGAAGAGTGAATTGGATGTTCCTTTTAAAGTCAAGGCTGGCCAAATTGGTAAGTACTTCACTCTTCATTTGTATTATTCTTAGTCCTTTTAGTTTTTTTTGTCATTTTACCTGTTCCTTAACATCTTTTTTAGCTTGAAAAAAAAGTAAGAGGTTTTTGGCTAATGTTGATTACAGCTTTTGGAGTTCTGCACTTAACATATACTATACCTAATATATACGTTCTTCACAGTTTTTGACAAAAGGGTAGAAAATTACCTTCTAAAGTGGAAGGACGTTTGAACTGCAATGATACATTTTAGGCTTTGGTTCCACCACACAAAGTATATCTTCATTTTCAAAACTGATATGCAAATTTTGTGTGATTTTTCTTTATATATGAAAGTAGTGTAATTTGTAAACTCTAGTAAATAAAATTTAAGTGTAGCTTCTTTCCCTCATGTTTTGTTTCACTGTTTCGCTTGATATATTGTGCAGCAGTGTGGTGTGGAGGATATGCTTTGATAAGTAGAAAGTCTTTCTTTGAAGCCTAACTCTCTACACTAAGATCATCCATAACTAAACATGCATATTTGTTGGAGAACTTTTTCAATAGGAAGTTTAATATATCAAGTCCTTTCAACTAGTCCATACTACCTGATTTCTACTTAAAAAAAAAAAGAAAAAAATATATAAATTACAGCCCTAGATGACTTACTCTTCCTTTAGAATTTTCACTTATGCCACTACTCTTCCTCCCATCCCTTTTGTCCTGCTACTTCACCGCATCACTTTCCTCCTTCATTCATTATTTTGTATTCAGGGAAGGCTTTGCCTTTTGCCATTCCAGCCTCTCTGAGTAACTGCTTGAATACTTCTGTGAGTCCACATTATATCATTGTACATGTGGTCCTTTTCTACAGATTTTAAAATTTTAATATAAATTTTCATGTTTTTTCCTCTTGAAGCAGGAAACACTTCCTTAGGCTGAAAGTATCCCTAGGGCACACATTATTATTTTTTTGTCTGTCTGTTACACAGAGCCCTGTGGTTTGTCAGGCGGTGATGTTTAGCAGTGTTCTGGAGGTGTTGTTGCAGCCCTCCATGCTTAATTGAAATCCTAGAGTGAAGTTAAAGCCCGTTCATTCACTCTTTGACCTTTGAGATATATGACTGTGGGAGAGGCAAGGGTGAATGTGATATCTTTGTCCTCAGGGAAGTTGTAGAGACCTAAAATGAGGACATAATATTGAAATCTCATTCCCAGAGTATTGGGTGAGTTGTATTTGACTTAAGAGCTTTCACATTATTCATTATATTATTACAACTAGATGTGTATTTTGGAAGACGTTTTCTAATGGTTCAAAATATATTCTTTTTGCTTTTAAAGTATTAGAATTTAATGGCTGCCTTCAGGGCTACTCACTGAGTTGTGAGAGACCCTTTACATGTAAGGATGCAAAGCATATTTCCTTCATACGTTTCCTATTTGGGGGTTTATGGGGCATTTATATTAGTTATTAAGTTTCTATTAGGTTAAAATATTACACCTAACCTGCAGAGTTAGTGTGGCTAAGTATGCTCAAGGATGTTTTGGTTTTCTAAGAGCTAGACATATTTGTGGGTACTCCTTTTACTTAAAATTTAAAAGAATTTTCTGACTTGTGAAAGGAAAGTGGTAGTATAACTAACTGGATTCCATTGGAGTTCAGAATAATGAAGGATGGGAGGATAATGGGTTAGGGTAAATGGAGAGAAGAGGAGGCTTTGAAACTAGACAGTCTCCTTTTGGTATCCTGAAGGGGCATTTCCCACTTTTGCAGTTTCATGCTCACCAAGAAGGCAATCAAATCAGATTTTTAGAAGTTTATGAGAGAGTTACAAGTATAACACCATCTATTATAAATAAAAGTGGCACTCACTCTAAAATCAAGAGACTCAGAAATGACCTAGAAGTGTACTGGCATTACTTTTAGGCTCCTCTGAAGTGGGAACCATTTAAGAAACTCAGCAGGTTTATAAGCTGAAGTATAATAAAAATTTAGATGGAGAAATAATTCGAGATTATAACCTTGGGAAGAGATTTCTAGCTAAAACTCGCTTACCTCCCTAGCCATCCAGGTGAACCAGAATATCCTCCCTTACATCGCGTTATTGTGTAAGTAGTTTAGTCCTTCACATATTAGCATGACTTAGTTAAGAGTCTTGATCAGCAGCACTGAGGGAGCAATAGCTTTTATATAGTCATTATTTTTTAAATTGTGATGAGAGAAGGGATTTTATTTTGGAACATGGAAAACCTTGTGGATAGAAAAGGTTTGAATAGTATTGCTCTAATACAGTTGAGGGCAGAATGGGACATTGACTGCCTGGAGACTAGAGATTGGGAGAAAAACAGAGAAGTAAATGTGGAAAGATACCAAAGACAGATTTTGCCCATTTCAAAGTTTAGCTGAGAATATGCCCTTTTTGTCTGTTCTCTCCTGCTTTGCGTAGCCTTTTCCCATAAAACTCCAGACTTGGCTTAGTGACACTTAGGGTCATAGTTCATCTCTATTATGAGGAAAAAAGTTTCTGCAGTCAAGTCCCTGAAGGACCTGGTGTTCATACCGTTGTTTCTGAGAGAGAAGATGTGTTCTACCTTTCATATGCTTTAGAAGCAGATACTTGGAATATAACTGTTCTCACCGGCCTGTAACTCACAATACTACTCATAAAACGATAGGTTTTGCCTTTTGGGTTGGCCTCTTCCAGTTGTAGCAGTTTGGTATACTGTCAAAGTTCTGTTCTGCTGGTCTTCTCTGTGTTGCTGCTTCTTTCTGGGATCTTGTACAGACATTATTTTCCACTGATGCTGTAGAAGTGTAGTTGTAGGTGTGGGTAGAATACATGCATGTTATTCAGACCATCGGCTGTTAGATGACGTGTACCAGTTCTGGTTCCACTGGTGACTTGGGTGGACTTAAGCAATTGATTTAACCTCTCTGAGACTGAGTTTCCTTTTTTTTTTTTCCTTTCCTTTCAAAATTGAAGTAATAATTGCCTTGTTCTTCTTACAGTTCGGGCATATTAAATGAAATAAGAGTTACCGAAAATTTTAAAAATATGAAGCACAGTGTGAATAGTCACTTGTAATAGTAATATAATGTGGAAAAGATTGTTTAAATTGTGTTGGGGTTTTTCTTTCTTTTTGAGTGTTGTACATACCATATGTGTGAAGGGTTTTATATATTTTTTCTCTTAATGGAAGGTAAGAAGTGTGTATGTTCTTGAGCTTCCCCAGTAAGAGGGTTGAAATTATGTTTCTTTAGATAAATTAACTTTGAAGATCCCTTGGAAGAACCTTTATGGAGAAGCTGTTGTTGCAACCCTAGAGGGACTGTACCTGCTTGTTGTTCCTGGAGCAAGTATGTTATTTTAGGTTGTAACCATTCAATAATACCATAGTAAAATTAAATTGTTTCCTAGGTTAAGTATTTTAATATGTTTAGTAAAATAGAAGATAATTTAAATAAACTAATCACATCCATGTATGTACACATATTCATATATTTCATGCATATACATATATATTGCCACATTTGTATATAAATTATTTTTATATTATTGTTGGAAAGAATAATTTCAACCACTTATGAAATTTATTCTGTTTTCTATGAATAGTCATTTTGCAACTAAGGCTTCCTATTAAGTTGAGATACATTAGACAGATTTTCTTTTGGGAATAAGTTTTAAGAAATGTACTGTTAATCTACAGATTGGAAACATTTTTTCCCCATTTTGTTTCTGATTTTGAGTGAATACTCTTTCAAAAATGTGTGTAAAATAAGTAATTTTTTTCATTATAAAGTATTTTAATTTTTTATATTTTAATTTGTAGTGACTTTTAAAGCAATGATGTTTATTTAAGTAATGTCTTCCATTATTAATGTTTTTTCACTTTGAGAACAATATAATGTTAAGAAAAGCTTGGATATTTCAGAGAAAAATTACTTACATGTTCTCAACCATAAAAGAAACACAGTTTTTATTTTTATATTTTGTATACATACTTGAGTTGGTACAGCATTTATTACATTATATATATATATATATAAAATATGGATCTGGCTTTTTCACTTAGTATATGTATTTTTTGATATGTTTCACAGTTTTCATGGTGATAGTGATAATTTTGAAAGGCTATATGATATTCCATTGTGAACTACCTGCTGTTTTTTGCTGTTACAGTGAACATTATAAACTCTACCTTATAGATTTTCTTCTTACTCTTTTCTGTTATTTCCGTAGGATACATGATTAGAAATGAGTTTGCCAGATAAAAAGGATATATATGTATATATTTTATGATTGTTGACAGATATTCTTGAATTACTTATTGAAATTCTTTTTATCAATGTTACATTGATACCAGCTGCTGTTGGATGCTGCATGCTTTTTGTGGTTACTTAAAATTTTACCACTGAGATATATAATAACTGGAAATTTTTTGATGTATTTTATGCCTTCCCTCTGTTCCTCCCTTGCACCCTTCTATTCACCCTTTTCTCCAGTTATCCTTTTTCCTGTCTTCTTTCTCTCTTTAATTCTTTTCCTTCCCTCCTTTTCCTTTTGATATAAGCTTTGTAAATAAATAGAAATCATTTATGTTTAAACTTTTTGTAAAACTAATCTGAAGAATATAAATGTTTTTTGACTCACAAAAAAATGACAAATTACCCCCCACACAATATTATGAGGCTGAACTTTTCTTATATATTTTTTATTAATTGCCTTTATGTGTGAATTAACTATGTATTTCTAGGTATTAAATATGATGCTGAGAAGGAAGAAAAATCCTTGCAAGATATTAAACAGAAAGAGCTATCCCGAATTGAAGAAGCCCTTCAAAAAGCAGCAGAGAAAGGTAAAACAAGTTTATGTTTTAGATAAATATACATATATCTATGTTTTAGATATGTTTAATGCACCGCAAAGAGGATCTTTCTTAGGCTTTCATAAGCTGTCATTCCAAAGAAGAATCTTTTAAAATCATGTTTCATAATACCGACTGTGAAGATTTTAATGACTCACGCTTGGGAGTCACTGCCTTTGTGACTGTTTTATCTCACTGCCAGTTTAATTTTCCTACTTTTCCTAATTTGTCATTTTTACTATGCTACCTTACGGAGACTTCCCAAATTCTTTGAGTTCTTGCAGGCCTCTTTATTTTTGCCAAAGGTTACTGGTTTCTTTGTCTGCATTTTCACCTGTATTCTTGGAAGATAGTAAGGTTCAGTGTATTAATATAGTGAAATAGTGTTTAGAGGAATTGGTACATAATGCTATTCCTAGCCATATCTCTTTATATTATATAGGGTATTTTAAAAACTTGATTCTTCAGACTTCAACATCTTAACATCTTGCCTTAAGTTTTAATGTTTTGTTTGTATCTAAAAATAAATCTGGTGACTATTTTGCTTTGGTTTATGGAGCAAGATGAACTGAAGGAGCTTGCCAAACCTCCAGTCTGTTTTTCAAGTCAGATCATACCCTGATCACCGAGTGGGGTATGAGAGCATTTTACATCATTTTTGTGTCATTAAGTGGAATATTTATATATTTCTCTGATGAAAGTAAATGGTACCAGAAATGCTCAGGCATTTCTCTTTGGTCTATCTTAAAATATATGGCAAATGTTGAGTTAGAAATGACAGAAATTGCATTTAGATATGATAATATTTCTTTTCCTATCTTAAGCTGCTGATATTTAATTAAATCAGTGAGAAATCTCTCTTAAAAAATAACTTGCTCATTAAAATTTTTTATCAATGATTCTGATTCTTTTTGCCCGTAGTGTTCTCTTACACAGTATTATTCTTTAATGAAAAAGTACTGAAATACTTAGAATACAGAGGCTGTCATGATGGTAGAAAGTTTTAAAAACCTAAACTTTTTTTTCCTTTCTCTTTTCATACTTAACTGTATCTTGTGTTTTGGCTGAAGCTTAAGGATCTGTATTTCTATAAAAACAGCTTTCTTCATTTCCATTACTTTTATGTGCCAAATAAAGCAAGGCACATAAAATATTTTGACTGCATATAAGTATTTTTTCTAGTTTCTGTGAATATGGAGCTTATCTTCATATAGCATTATTCATATAAAAGCCTTCAGCTGCCTTCTAGTTCACAATTATTAATTAAGTTTTGAGTTGATTACCATACTTTATTTTTCATGTTGTTTTTTTTTTTTTTACTTATTTCTTGATTTTAAAAGCACAAAAACACCACTGTGTGTGTATAGAGACTCAAAGAAGTAAGGAGAGAAAGTGATTCAACTACAAGCAGCAGATGATAAAAGTGAAGTTAGAATCCTCAGACTGATCTGCTTTTAAAAAGTACTTTTACTTAATTTGTTTCATTTGTTAAAATAGAGTGCTGCCCACTATTATGTGGGAAAAAAGGAAAATCAAAATACAACTTTAAGTTCATTTCTAGAGCATTTTCTTAACTGTAAAAATAAACTTCTTGATATTTTTCTTCTTTTATTTCATTGTAGTGAATTTATTTTCCTGGAAGGACTATTGTAAAGGGTAATATTAAATTCCTAGTGAGTCCAAGAGTTTCAAATGTTATACAGATTCTGTATTTCACAGTGTTGATTTGATCAAAACCTCTAAAGTTTTAGAGTTAACATTAACTGTGAAATCCAATAGTTTTCCCAAAAAGGCTTAGGATGAAAAATGTCAGTTTTCTGCTCCACTATTCTCTGCCCTTTAGACCCACTCCCTAGAGGGAACCATTGTTTTAGAAATACTGACATTCTGTGGTTATCTCATTTATTAATGTTTACCTCTCCTACCATCTTTTTTTTCACCCTAAATTCTCCTTTCTATCTTACAGTATGGTTATACCACAAGTTTTGGCCAATTATGAGTCAAAATTTACATTGCTATGACAATATAATTATTGTTCACTGCATAGATCAAATAATGTACTGTGATTATATTTCCTTTGTTATGCCGCTTTTTGTTTTTCTTGAATTTGTAAATGCTTCTTTTCTATTTGCCTGGTTTTCAAGGTAGATTTACCTTTAATTCTTTTCCCATACTACATGAAATCTATCTGTCAAATGACTATCAGTGTTATTTTCCAATTGCCCAAACCCATCTATTGGTCCTCTCCCCTTTTCTCTTGGAGATCTTCCTCTGAACTGGTGGTGGTTTTTTTTTTGTTTGTTTGTTTTGTTTTGTTTTAAGTTCTGCTATGCAATTGTCATCCTGGAACTTGTTTTGATTGCTCTTCTGTTTTTAATTCATTGAGTCCCTAGCCTTTTGTTTTTTTGTTAGTTTATTCCTTTGTTTTGCTGGAGCATTTCTAATAGCTTTTATGAAAGGATGCACTAGAAATAATTTTTAAAAGAGTCCTTTCAAGTCTGAAAGTCTTTGTAACTTACTTCCACACTTGTTTGATTTGACTGGGAATAAAATGCTGCGTTTAACATTAGAATTTTGAAGGCAAAATCTTCTAGCTTCCAGATAGTTTTGAGAAGTCTAATGCCAGTCTGCTCAACACATTGTTGGAAACACAAAAATTAGAAAATTCCTGGAGCCTACTGTATCAAAGACCTCGTGTATAATAGTAAATAGGATAAAATGTTGAGTCTCATCCAAGAGGTACTGATGAAGTGTTAAGGGATTTCATAATGGGCATATCATGTTCTGCCAGAGATCAGGGCACACACTGTGAAGGTATATATTTCAGCTGAGTGTAGAGGATGAGTATGCAGAAAAGAGAGAGCGTTCTAGGTCCTCTAGGACGGTGAGATGGAAAAGTACAGAGCATGTGTGGGGAACAGCTAAGAATTTGGGAGTTTGATGGTGTAGTTGGACGTGAGTTGGAAAGCTAAGTCGAGGTCAGTTTTAAGAGATTTGAATGCCATGATGATGATGGCAAAGATAACAGCTGGTACTTATTTTGAGTGTACTCTTTGCCAATCACTCTTCAAAATGCTTTGTATGAACTGACTCATTTAATAGTCATAATTCTATGATATAAGGGCTTTTATTGTTCTCATTTTGTAGCTGAGAAAACTGGAAGTTAAATTACTTGTTCTTGGTTATGCAGCTAGAAAATGATAAAGCTGGAATTTGAACCCAGCCTGGCTCCAGATCCTACATTCTCGACTCTGTGTTATAATGGACTTCAATTGGTAGCCACTGAGAGAGTCAATAAGTTTCACTTTTTCTTTAAAAATCCAGGGAGTGATGTGCCCACAGCCGTGTTTTAGGAAGGTTAAGCTCGTGGTGATGTCTAGGCTGGATTTAGGGAGAGAAACGGAAGATGGTGCTCCCTAGTCATCAACAAGAGTGGATAGGAAGGATTCAGTGTGTCTTGAAGGGAACATCACAATAAAGTAAGATGAATTCATTTCAGCTGACTCTAAAATTAGTGTAAATATCACAGCAATATTTCATCCTGAAAATGGGCAAAATGGTGGGCAAAAAGGGAACCAAAATAGCAGACTTTTGCTCTGTTTGAAAATATGTCAGTCAATGAGACATTAGCTGTAATTGGTATTTGTTTTTCTTAATTTGAAATTATTAATTCTTATAATTTTATTTATTAACAATTTTGTTTGAATGTTATGAAAACAAAGTTTGTTGAAGGAGTGAAAACGGTGTCACTGAGAATATTTCCTTAGAAATAAGTTGTTTTGGTGTCACTGGATTATACTTGTTCTATTACATGATTCTGATTCTTTGAATTAAGTTTAGACATATTTTGCATGTGAAATTAAAGGTGTCTTTTAAATGCTTTGCATTTTGATTATTGCTGCCATGCGGATGCAGGCACACATTCAGGAGAGTTCATCTATGGCTTGGAAACCTTTGTTTATAAGGACATCAAGCCTGGTGGGTATGCATGGTTAATTATATTCAGCTCTATGCAAAATTATATTCTTATCCATGCTTGTGCTTTTCATGGAGTTCACATGATGACGTGTCATCCTTTTAGAAAATATGGAAATGTAATTCATCTTTTTCCCCTTTACCGTCATTTCCTTTCCCCTACCTTCTCCAGCCGTTTATTCATTCACCAAATACTTTGATGCCTTCTTCTGGCAAGCACTATGCTGGGTGCTGAGTGTTCATGGGGTGAAACAGACATGATCCACAGCCCTTCTGAAGTTTAATTTATAATAACACTCAAATCCCAGCTGCCTTTCTGATTTAGTTCTGTTGAATAGTAGTTTCTCAGTTAAGCGATTCCTCCCCTATAGCAGTGGTTTTCAAACTTGTAAAAAGCAATAAAAAGGAGCCTTTTTTTTTGAGACATACTTTATTTTAGAACCTTGATAAGGAATGTTTCTCTGACGTTCTTCTCATAGCCTCCCTGATTTACTTCATCCCTGAAGTAGCTTTGGAGGCCCCTGTAGACGACTGTCTGGTACAGCATACTGAAATTTGAGGCTTCACAAAAAGCAAATTTGAAGGCTGATTGCTTTACGACTTATAATAGGATTCTTTCGTATCCTAGGAAGTTTACCAGGCACATTAATAATTTCTAATATTTTAAACAGTAATTTGATTTATTTAACTATTTTCTATAACTTTTCAGGAATTTGTTATATTAATTCAGTCACACTTAAAATTTGTTTTGATTAGCTGGCAAGTGGGGTCTCTAACTCAAAGTATAAACAATTAGCGTATGATAGAATCACTTCTGTTGTTAGTAGGTTCTTTAATATTTAGATTCATTATGACAAACGGAAGAATAATTTGCATGACAAATTTCACAGCATTGAATAAAATTGAAAGACAGTTCTCTTTGAACAAATGTGCCCCTTTAGTAAGTGTGGCTGACTGTGTTAATTTGTCTTACAGTTCCTTTGTTTAATATAAAAGGTAGCATGGGAATACTCATGGCTCACCGTCCAATTTTGTAGGTTGTAACTGAACCAGCTTTGTGTAGTCTGCCAGGGGAAGTGCTTTCTGATCCTCCTGGGAGCCACCTGCCTCCAGGATACAAATGAGTTCCATTGGCCTATTCAAATATGAAACAAAACCATAGGGCAGCATTGTCCCCCCCCCAAAAAAAACTGAACTCAAACAGACAGAGCTCACTGTAAAGTAAAACCTCACTGATTGACGGTTTTCTTTTATTCCAAAAAGGTGTGTTAGCCTGGATTAAAAACAAAAAACAAACAAAAACACTAGGCCTAGAATTTGATGATTCTGAGATGAGAATAGTTAATTTTGTTGATGATATCTTTATTTATTTAGCCAGGACTTAATGGGTACTTTATAATCCTTTCTTTTTTTGTTTCTGAGTGTATATTCCTTCCTCATTAAAAAAAAATTAATTTTTAGAGCAGTGGTTCTCAAAACGTCAAAACTATTTTCATATTAATCCTAAGGCATTATCTGATTTTTCACTGTGTTGAAATTGGTGCTGATGGTACAAAGCAGTGTTATGTAAAATTTCTGGCTGCTTTAGCATGAATCAAGGCAGTGGCACCAAACGGTACTACTAGTAGCCATTGTATTGTTCACTGCCGGTCACTCACAGTAAGAAACAAAGTGAAATGAAAGGAGCACTGATTTTGCTTGAGTGTCTTTGATGAAATAGAGAATTTTAGTTTTAGTAAACTTTAGCTCCTGAGTAGATGAGTCTTTGATGTTTTGTGGCAACAGAGCAAGCACACATAAGATACTTCTGCAGACCGAAGTACGATAATTGTCTCAAGGAAAGAACACTCGCACGGTTGTTTAAGTTGTCAGCAGAACTAGTCGCTTTTTTCATGGAAAACGGTTTTACTTGGAAGAATGGCTGACAGACTATCATTTGTAGATGTTCAACAAAACAACTTTAAGGAACAATAACTGACAATGTTTGTTGCCAGCAGTAATATTTGAGCTTTTGAACAAAATTAGGATTTTGGAAAACTACTATTTGCAAACTTGAACTTGACAGCTTCCCATACTTAAAGACTTTTCTGATGAGATTTGTGGTAGTATTAACAATATGATTTTTGGTATTAAATAATAAAGTGACTCAACATTTGTAAGATCTGCATAATTCAATGAAGCAATATTTCTATATTGCTAATGTAAAAAGTTATGAATGTATAAAAGGTCCATTTAAAGTGCAAGGTAGACTGATTTTAATTCAGACGAAAAATTCGTTGATAGAGTCTCAGATTCCAGGGTGAAACTTCAAGAAACTACCACTTGAGGTGGGGAGGGTGTAGCTCAGTGGTAGAGTGAGTGTTTAGTATGCATGAGGTCCTGGATTCAATCCCCAGTACCTCTGTTTAAAAAAAAAAAATCTAAATACCTCCCCAAAACAATCAAACGAAAACAAAGAAACTACCACTTGCTGAGTTTGAGTGTAATGTCCATAATTAAATGAAAAGGCCATGAAAATGTTCTTCCCTTTTCCTGTTACATATCTTTAGTTAGGTCAGATTTTCTTCACATCATTCCGTTTAAACTGCATATCCCAAAAGAGCAAAGGCAGAAGCAGATATGTGGATCCAGCAGTCTTCTACTAAGTCAGACATTAAAAAGATTTGTAAGATTTCAAAACCATGCCACTTTTCTCACTGCAACTTTTTTCTTGGAATAAATACACGTTAGCTATGCTATCATGTAGTGGGCGTTTTAATGAGTTAATAAATGTTAAAAAGTTTTTAAGTGTTGATTTCCAATATGGTAAATATCAATAGCCGTAACCCACACTAATAAAAAGTTCTTTAAGGTTCTCAAATTGTAAATGTGTTAAAGGGACCCTGAGACTAAAACAGTTGAGAACTGCTTTAGAGAATAACTGGAGATCATAAGTGTATTATCTATCAGATTAAATAGAAACTCTCTAAAGAAGTATATGCAGTACTCAGATTAAATTTTGAAACTATTTGGAAAAGTTTAAACATGGTGCCTATAACATGGAGACCAAAGACAGAACAAGGGGCTAGAACAAATGTGAAACCAGAAGGGTAATAGGAGGCCAGGTAAGAAGCTTGAGTTATGGTAAGCTCTAAACCCAGGCAGCTGAGCTTCTGTCTCTGAAAGGTGTTCTGCCTATGCGAGTTGGCTTTCAGGGCCACTTTGGCTTTCTTAGTTGTTTCTTTTCAAACGATATTTCTTTGAGAACTTAGTATTTTTTTCAGTGTTTAATTTATAAATGGAAAAGACTTAGGGAACATCACTGTGACAAGAACATAATAGTAATGGTAATAGCAAAGTCCAGATTTTGTTATATGTTTATTAGTTTCTTTTTGAAACTTAGGGTTTTAGTCTTAGAATCCAGGATTTGAATCTTAGTTTTTGTAGTGGCAGAACAGTTTGCTCTAAAATACCAAGGAAGAACAAATTTGAAATTTCAAGCTAAATATTATGCATATTCTCTCAAAAATATATGTAACATTGACTGAGCTTATGTATTTTATTATAATCTTCAGATGTAGACTTTTTTGATTCCTTTGAACAGATACGTATCATGCGCTTTGTGCCCAGGTGTTAGGATAATTCCTGTCCTAATGAAGACTCCTGCCTGGTGACAAGACAGTTGTGCAGACACTTCAAATACAGTGTAGTCACTGCTTGATGGAAGTCTGTATAAGGTGCAGGGGTAGGTGGCCCTGGAGATGCCTGGAGGATTTGAAGAAGGCTTTACATAGGCAGTAGTGCGGGGCCTGAGTTTTGGAAGCCCCCTAGGCATTTGCCTGGTGAACAACTGAACAACTCAGGGAGGGCAACCCAAGTTCAGAGAATGAGGCATGTAGAGGCATTAGGCGTTAGAAAATCATGGCTTGTTTTGGAAAATATAAGTAATATTTCTGAAGTGTCCAGTACAAGGATAAGTGGCAGGAGATAGAACCAGATGGGGAAATAGGGGTCATATCATGAAAGGGCCTTTGTGTCACATAAACCCTGGCTCATTTTATCTGTCAGGCTGCAAAGACCCTTTAAGAGAATTTTGAGCAGGTAATAAACAGGCCATGAATAGTATTTTAGAAGATAAGAGTCTGGTAGCAGTATAGAAGGACATTAGGTTGGAGGTAAGAGTGGAGACTGGAGGCAGGGGAGACCATACAGAGGCTGCCCCAAGAGCATGGACAGGAGCTGAGGTGCAGTAGGCAGTTGAATGTAAAGCTTTGTAAGTTGGATAAGATTAAGTGTGGGTTAATGCCACGGAGTGAGGCAGTGCCAAATAACAGTGGATGAGGTTTTGAAGGAATTATTAAGCTAATTTCAGTGTACAGTTCCAAGTACATTTTCTGCCCTTTTTGTATTCGTTATACCTTCATGTATTCATGAAAGGGTTCTGCTTGTGAGGTCTGTCATCCAGAGGAAGTCATCAGTCAGCAGGCGGCCCATTCATTTCATTTGTGTTCCTACCACACATTTATCAACACCTTTTTCTGAAAGTTTCATATCCCATCATTATTACATTTCCAATATTTTGGTAACATTGAAATGAAAAACTTTGTATTGTGAAAAGCCATAAATATTATAAAGGGCATTGTGTATAGATATTTTATCCAATTTTTGTATAATTACACCTGCCAAGTTATTTTCTAGATTAAAGGAAGTTATTCTAGACTAAAGAAGGTTTGTGAATTTCTGCTTGTATTGAAATAACAGGTCAGTTTAGAATAAAGGTGACTTGTACCAGAATTTGCTGTCAGGAAAAAGTCTCTTGTTTTCTTTACTGTCCTCTTGTCTGCTAACTTGAATTTTATCCTTTTCTCACTAAAATGCTTCCACTGAGAAGGACGTAAACGTAAAAAGCACAAAAAACATTTTAAGAAACCTTTTAAAGGTCTTGATCGCTCAAAAGGTAGGTAAAAGTAGTTTTTATGCTGTGTGTTATTTGTACACGTTGCCGCTTCATTTCTGTCTTCAAAGGTAAAATGAATATTAGATTACAATGTAACTTCAGAAATAAGTTTTAAATTAGAAATGAATATCAAAATCTAAAATGTAAAGTCAAACAAGGACACTAGAATAGGTTTTAATTTCCGTTCAGTAGTGCCTTGGCTGTCCTTTGGTCATTGTTTATGAGTGATATGAGAATTTCAACTCTTGAACTTGTATTTTGCTTTTCTTTATAGACAAACCAAAAGAGGCCAAAAAGGATACATTTTTGGAAAAATTGGCGACTCAAGTAATTAAAAATGTTCAAGTAAAAATCACAGACATTCACATTAAATATGAAGATGATGTAAGTGTTTACTTGATTTAAGTTAGTAATTGTGTATTTTATGACATTAATTTTTTAATTAGAATTTTTCATTGAAGTATACTTGATATTCAATATTACATAAGTTACAGGTGTACAATACAGAGATTCACAGTTTTTAAAGGTTGTGCTCCATTTATAGTGATTATAAAGTGCTTACTGTTCTCCATGTTGTACAGTATATCCATGTAGCTTATTTTACACCTAATAGTTTGTACATCTTAATCCCTTTGATTGCATATTGAAATGAGAATATTTTAGATGTATCAGGTTAAATATATTAAATTAATTTCACTTGTTCTTGCTTTCTTTATTGTGGCTATTAGAAATTACACATGAAGCTTGTCTTTTTTTTTGTTGAAATATAGTTGAGTTACAATATTATGTTAGTTTCTGGTGTAAGAGCAAAGTGATTCAGTTTATACACACACATACATATATATTCTTGTTCAGATTCTTTTCCAGTATAGGTTATTACGAGATATTGAATGTTAGTCCTAGTGCTATCCAGTAGAATCTTGTTTGTCTGTTTTATATATAGTAGTTTATATCTGCTAATCCCAAACTCCTAATTTATCCCTCCTCCACCCTTTCCCTTTGGTAACTGTAAATTTGTGTTGTATACCTGTGGGTTTGTTTCTGTTTTGTAAATAAGTTTTGTAAATAAGTTCATTTGTATCATCTTTTTTAGATTCCACATATGAGTGATACCATATCATATTTGTCTTTCTCTGTCAGACTTACTTCACTTTGTTTGGTAATCTCTAGGTCCATACATGTTGCTGCAAATGGCATTATTTCATCATTTTTATATGGCTCAGTAATGTTCCATTGTATATGCACCACATCTTCTTTATCCATTCATCTGCCAGTGGACATTTAGGTTACTTCCATGTCTTGGCTCTTGTAAATAGTGTTGCTAGGAGTACTGAGGTGCGTGTATCTTTTCAAATTAGAGTTTTTTCCATATATATGAGAATGGGATTGCTGGACCATATGGTGACTCTTTTTAGTTTTTTAAGGAACCACCATACTGTTTGCCATAGTGGTTGCACCAATATACATTCCTACCGACAGTGTAGGAGGGACCCCTTTTCTCCACACCCTCTCCAACATTTATTATTTGTAGACTTTGTGATAATGTCCATTCTGACCAGTATGAGATGATACCTCATTGCAGTTTTGATTTGCAGTTTTTCTGATAATTAACTATGTTGAACATCTTTTTAAGTGCCTATTGGCCATCTGTATATCTTTTGGAGAAATGTCTGATTATGTCTTCTGCCCATTGTTTTTACTGGGTTGTTTGGGCTTTTTTAAAATATTGAGCTGTATAAGCTGTTTGTGTATTTTGGAAATTAAGCCCTTGTCGTTTGCATTGTTTACGAATATCTTCTCCCATTCTGTAGGTTGTCTTTTTGTTTTATTTATGGTTACCTTTGCTGGGCTTGTAAGTGCGATTTGGTCGCATTTGTTTGGTTTTGCTTTTATTTCCTTTGCCTTGGGAGACTGACCTTTGAAAACATTGCGATTTATGTCAGAGAATGTTTTGCCTGTGTTCTCCTCTGGGAATTTTATGGTGTCATGCCTTATATTTACGTCTTTAAGTCATTTTGAGTTCGTTTTTGTGTATGGTGTGAGGAGGTGTTCTAATAACTTCATTGATTTACTTGTGGCTGTATGATATTAATCCTTGATTTGCCCGTACATGGATTATCTATACCCAACTTTAAATCCAAGATTGACTTTTTTTCTGATAAGTACACTACCATGTCTCCTTTCTTGTGTTAGACTTTTTTCATCTGGCATTAATGTGTGTAAATATATTATAAAACCTCCACATGTTTCTTTGTAAAGCTAATTTAAGAGACTTTTGGATTGTCCTCTATTATTTATTTTGAATTGTGTTTAATGCTAAGACTTAGACTAATATAACTTTAAGGGACTAATTATTTTTATACTGACAAAAAAAATTAGTTCCCAGAGGTGATGAAGTTATCAGTTATAATGGTGGTTGGTGGGGAGGGGACTAAAATCCAGGTCACTGGCTCCTGGTCTCATTCCCTGTTGGATTCAACACCCACAGCTACACACATGTATGTTCACACACGTGTGCAGCAATATTTAGAAACCACACTTCACTTATAACTAAGAGTTTGACATTAGTTAATTAAGAACAATTTTGCCGATTAATTTTAGTTAAAATGTAACAGATATTTTGAACTTAATATGCTTTACTTTGTTTTAAAGTTTGAGACATACATGAGAAGCCTTGAATTTTTTCATTTACCTAACAAATTGGAAATGCTTTTTATCTTTTGCGAAATAAATTTACCCTCTTTTTTGTTTTTAATTTGCTTTAGGTTTGGATTGAATTGAAGTCATACTGACATATACAGAATTCATTTTTTTTCCTAATGAGTTCCTTTTGTAACTTATTATTCAGTAAGACACACTTGTAGTTTTTCAAGATACACCATTTCTCTCTTACAATGGATTTATCTTTTAGTTTTGTGTAGTCATTAAACTGAATTTTGTTGACAAATGTCTAAAAAACCCTAACTCATAAATGGTCTTGTTTAAAACAATCTTAGGAAAGTAAAATCTACTCAACCTGTCATGGAAGTGAAAGAATTATTCTTATTTATTTATTTAAATTTTATTTTATTGAGTTATAGTCAGTTTACAATGCTGTGTCAATTTCCAGTGTAGAGCACAATTTTTCAGTTATATGTGAACATACATATATTCATTGTCGCATTCTTTTTCACCATGAGCTACCACAAGATCTTGTATATATTTCCCTGTGCTATACAGTATAATAGAATTATTCTTAAAACTAATGGCATGTTGATGAATGAAAATCTCAGTTTAACCTTAAACTAAGCTTTTCTTATTGAGCAAGTACAGTTAGAAAGGTACATTATTTTTCTCTCTTTAATAAAAAATACAAAGATGCACAGGAGTGGAATAAGTAACGTCAATTATGTTTCAATTGATACCAGTGTCAGAATACACTAAAATAATCTAAGGGGAAAAAAAAAGTGCAACGGGATCTTCCTTGTATCATGCCTCTTTCAATATGGTTACCTTAATTATTGTGTCTAGAAGAATACTGAAAAATACAGAAATGGGGATAGAGAAAGTATAATAATTTATCATAAAGGTACTCATTTTATGATAACAGTAATTTATGGGTATTGCATTAACAGCTGAGGAGTTGTGTTTAATTAACGTTTATTCAGAAACAGCTGCAATGTATTTTGGGCTAGTAATATGTAGGTATAAAAAGATGAATATGGGAATGAAGGAAAAGATATTTTGCCTCAAATCTTAATCTGATACTTAAAACAAAGCTCACCAAGGTCTTTGTGTTTTTCAGTTAGACCAGAGTGTGTATTTTTCCTATTTGAGGAGGGTATATGTGACTAAACTCAAGTCCCTGGGGGGTGATTTAGGGGAGAGGGTGTAGCTCAAGCGGTAGAGTGCATGCCTAGCGTGCATGAGGTCCTGGGTTCAATCCCCGGTACCTTCATGGAAAAAAAAAAAAGTAAACCTAATTAATCTCCCTCTTCAAAAACAAAAAAAAAAGAAATTGGCTCCTGGTGCGTGATTTAGAGCATCATGTTTTTTCTCTTCTCTGTAGTTTCCCTAGTTTCTGTTATGACCAAAAAATACTGTACAACTTTAGGACGTTTTTTCAGGTGTCTAAAACAGTGACATTATACACACTGTGGCACAATTTAAGCACTATTTATAAATATAACTTAGGTATTGAAGATCAGAAATAAATCAGAATTTTAACATTGGCAGATTTGGGGTTAAGATACTGAGGAAATTAAATGTTAAGAATTTTGAACATCTTCTAACAAAATGTTTTTAAAGTGTCAAGGAAATTAAATGCTTGAAGAGACAGTTCACATTTCTAAGTGTGAAAATCATATGTGTTTTAAAAATAATTCAGTGGCAGTGTTATTATCTGTAGCTCTTTTATTTATCTTTGAAGAACATCTTTAATGGTGTATATAAAGAGACTGTCTCTTCTAAACTATCTAGACAGGAATGTTTAGTGAGTCTTCTCACTTCTACTAAGAAAATATCCCACTGGGAAAATGTCATATTAGTTTCATGCCTACAAAGTATGGACAGTCCCAGTGATGTCCCTGTCTTCCCCCCATTCTTCTCCATGGATCTATTTGGGTTGTGTGACTTACTTGTAAACTTACTGTCCTCTGTTGCCTATTGTAGGGTGTAGAGTGGAGTCACCCTCACCATCAATATAATTTAATGTCAGCCTTTTCTCTTTGATAGGTCACGGATCCAAAGCGGCCTCTTTCATTTGGTGTCACTCTGGGAGAACTTAGTCTATTGGTAATGTTGGCCTTATTTAACATTTCTGTGGAACCTGTAAAATATTATTCTCAAGTCACAGGGTGAATTTCCTAAAATCAGTTATTGCTACAAATAGCTCTTTTATTTTTGTGTATAATCTTTCTACAGCTTTTCTAGAAGTTCACAATTTTTAGTGATACTTTAATTATATTCTCTAATTATTTTGATTTGTCTTTAAATTTAACAAATATCAAAATATCAAGAGGAAATGACTTGAAAGCATCAAAAGCTGTATCTGCAACATGTAGTTAAGTAGGGGAAGATAAATTTCTACAGAGCCATGTTCTTGTCCTTGGTATAACTTCCAAATAGTTTGTACATGTGTATCTGTTTATATGTATGTGTATGTGTGTTTATTACATTGAGATGTACATAAGAAACTTATTTTGATTAAGTATTTTATATGCAGTTTGGTTTTTCTCTTTAAGAATATAGACTGTATATATCCACATCCAGATTGGACATTTTTTCTACTGTGAACAACTGAGTGTAGGAAACATGTTTTAAAGTTAAGGACAGCAAATAGTAAATCATACTGGGTATGTGTCTACCTCATGATTAGTTATATGGAGACACCCTTGATAGGGAGGGAAGACAAAGGAAAAATGGAGGAGAAGGAAACTACTAAAGAAGCCGAAAAAGGGCATTGTTACATGGAGAATGACACATGCACACAGAGAAGTAGAGATACACGTGAAGATCATAGCAGAAAGATTAAAGAAAAACACTGGAGAAACAAAGGAAAGGGGGTCAAGGAGGCGAGTGTTTAATATGCTTTTTATCCTCTGCTTGTTTCCCAAGAGAATTTGAAGAAGCAGTACTGTAACACTTTTAAAGAGACCAAAATCTGTGTTCTGAAAGGTAGAGAGATAATTGTTCCAGAAGAAGTAGACTACCAGTATTAGTCATAAGTGAACTCAGTATTGAATGCTGAGTTTCTAGCAGACCAAACAGAAAATACAGAATAGTCATGAACCTCCCACCGACAGGTGACAGGCGTGCTGGTGGGTGGGAGTGGCGCACGGTGCCCTGCGTGTGTGCTGTTGTTTATCCTCTGTTTCTTTGCTCAGACTCTTCATGCTGTTTCTTTGTCTGTATTATTCTCTTCTCTTAGTCTGCCTGGTGGTTCTATTCAGGTTTTAATATTTCCTTGAGAGACTACCTTGTCTTTCTTATTCCTTTTTTACTTCCCTCTTGGAATTTACCATTCCTTCTTTTTTGCTCCCTGTTACATTTTATCAAAGCAGCTGTGACTTATTACTCTCCTGGTTACCATGTGGTCTCCTTCTGTCTAACCTTCATTCATTCACTGATACAGTAGTATGTATATTTCAGTGTTTCTGTGATGATTAAATCAGACCATTTGTGTAAAGCGTTTGGCACATTGGCTCAATTCCTGCTTCAACTACCACACTGGCTGTTGTAACAACCGTCATAGCAAGCGTCTCTTTCTGTATGTATACCATTCCTTTCTTCCATCTTTCCCATTCGAAACTAACCTGAATACCTGAGGCAATGTGCTCACCTCTGAGCTGGATCCCGTCCTCTCCCATGTCCTCAGGAGCCTTTTTTCCCCTTTGTCTCTCACTCCTTCCTACCCTTTGCCCTTCCTTCCTTATTTCTGTCAATTTCCTTCTCTTTCCTAAATCTTCAACTCCTCTTCTTCCTCTGCCCACTCCTTCCTGCAAGTGTTTAAACACATTGAAGTCTCTCCCTTCCATTAAAGTTAAAAAGCCTCTCCTTAACCTTCTCCTACTCCACCCAGGTCCCATCTAACTACTGCCTTCTCCTTCTTTGTAACTCTGCTTTTGAGAGGATTCTCTACCTTTGCTATCTTTATTCCCCCCCAACCCCATAACTCCCTGCCCCCTCTGCTCTTACTCTGCAGCTCCCCTGAAACTGTTCTTAACAAGTTCATCAGTGATGCCCCGGCCACTTAAATACGTTTTGGTTTCTCTCACAGCAGCTCCTGGCATTGCTGACCATACTGACTTTCTAGAAACATGGTCATGCTGTGATTTTCACATTCTCTTGGCTCTCGTCCTACTTTGCAATAATCATTTATTTGATTTTTTTCTTTTTAAACAATGTGGGCCTTCTTCAGTAGCTTATAGGCCAGCTCTCTGTTTTTATTCATACCCAGTTCAGACGCATAGTAGCTCAGTAATTATTTTCTAAATGAATGAATTCAGGTAAATTAGAACCTCCTCAATTCTATTTTCACTATTCCTTTGATTTTGCCATATAAATATGTAAAGAAGCAGATAGCTAACATTAGCCAACGTTAACTAGATGTCTTTTTATTCCTAAGTTATTTTGTTACGGTTTACAAATATTAGAGCACGATTTTGTGGTATGTAGACTTCATTTCACAGTTACTGTCTTTTTTCTTTTAGACTGCAAATGAACACTGGACTCCGTGCATATTAAATGAAGCAGAAAAAATTATATACAAGGTATTAAACTAGACTTTTTAATATAGGTATTTTCCTAGGAACAAACAGTTAATGTATTTTCTTGATGAAACCTTGATGGAGCAGAATATGCCACTGAATGTGAGTTAACAGTTGAGGATCTAGTTTTGGCTTTGCTACTCACTGTGTGACCTTCTGTAATCATTTACCTGTTCTGAGGTGTAGATTCTTAACCAAGAGTATAAAGAAACTGAATAAAATAAATATTTCCCATATTGTAATTCATGAACCATTAGGTAATTGGCATATTATTAGATTTGTTGGAAAAAATATTCGCCAGTCACGTAAGATTACTGACTAAAGTACAAAGCTAAACAGGTATGCTTTATTTTGCTTTTACCTACAGGACATCACAATACTTTAAATATGCTAATAAACATTGTGTGTCTTCCAGAGGGATATTTAGTTTGTAGCTTTCCCCAAATTGCTGATCATAGAATGCTCTCCCTTCACCCCTCCGTTGAAACAGCCATTTGTATCCACTGGAGGAATCATGTCTTTCTTATTCAGCGAAACGTTTGCAGGGTCTGTTAAATACTAAATTCTCAATAAATGTTTGATTATCGAATGAATGAATCCCCTTGGGAATAGAGTTCCTGGAAGCACAATTTAGCAAATACTAGATTAATAATAAAGTCTTCGAATAACGTAGATATATTTTCTTCCATTTTTGTATTATCTTCTTTCCTCTGAAAGCTCAAAATGGCAATTGGAAAGTTTTTTGGGTCGTGAACATGATGATCTTTTTAAAAAAATTTTTATAATGTATTTTATTTATTAATTGTTTTAGTGAAGTATAGTTGATTTACACTATCGTGTTAGTTTTAGGTATACAGTGGGTGATTCAGTTACGTGTATTTTTTTTAATTGACATATAGTCAGTTACAATGTGTCAGTTTCTGGTGTACAGCATAATCTCCCAATTGTGCATATGTGTACATATATTTGTTTTCATATTCTTTCTCATCAAAGGTTATTACAAGATACTGAATATAGTTTCCTATGCTATATGGAAGAAATTTGTTTTTAATCTATTTTTATATATAGCAGATGTTAACCACTGTATATATATTTTTCCCAGATTCTTTTCCATTATAGGTTATTACAAGATACTGAATATGGTTCCCTGTGCTATACAGTGAATCCTT